GTTGGGACCTTGTTGTTCGTGAAACCAATTGTTGAGATTATCATCCACTCATCTATTGTCATTTTGTTCCCCTTGAATCTATTATGGTTACTGCATTTTGCAAACTGAATGTCTATTATGAGTCCTAAAAGGGAAGTTGAAAATGAATACTTCATAGATAGAACCAAATTTTTTGGTCCATGTCGATCCAATGCTTATTTAGAGTTGGGTCCGGTTTTGCCCAACATAAGATGATTAGTTACTCATTCAAGTTCCCCTTCTACTCCACTTCAGATTAATCGGTTGCGGCATTGTCTTGTAAGTAGGAAGTACTTTATCGAGTCCTATAAGGGAACTTCATAATGAGTACTAATCATAAGATAGATCAATACCTTATGCATGTCCGTTACATGCCTATATGGGAATTAGGTCGGATTTTGCTTTAGAATAAGATGATCAGGTGCTCGCCTGTTCAATGTCCTAGTGACTGCCTAGTGGTGGAAGAAACACAAATGAGCTCCAAGAGACCCGTGGACTTCTTGAAGGACTTGCCTTCCTTACCTGCAGTTCCGAGGTTAGCCTCCATGAAAGAAAGCAGTGAACTAGGAATTAGCAGCGAAAAGGGGAAAACTTTTCCGTTCTCCCTTTGTGGTTCTGAAGCATTGTTATTGGTTGATGAAAGGCTAAATTTAATTAGTGGAAATGTGTGGCGGAAGTACTCTTGTGCGTGGCAAGCGGCAAAAATTATTTGGAGGTTCAGTTATTTGGAAAACTTGACTTTGGATTGGGATTTTGATGTGCTTTAATGGGTGTACTGTCGTCCTTTGCTTGGGCTAAAGAACTACCTTTTGCTACTATTATTTCTTATATATGGTTTGGTGTTCCTTGAAGATTGTTTTTCAAGTTATATTTGCATGTAAAGATGTACAGTAACTCAGCATGTGTGATTCAGGAATCTTGTTAGAACTTGGTTTATCTTGGCACGTCCCTCATATATTTGGATTTGAATGCAGAACAATCCCATGTGGGCCATAGACTACGAACGTGTGAGATCAAGGAAGCCTCCAGTTGCGATTAATTTTTCACGAAATGCCCATTTGGAACAGCCTTCTGCAGATAAGATGACTGATAGAGCTGCAGAAGTTACTTCAGCATCAAGTCTTTAGGTGTGTAACTTTAGTCCCAAATTGCTTGTTGGGAACAATCTTGGTCAGAAAGTTATGTCCTCTTCTGCCTTGCTATTGAGATGACATCTACTCATTCTAGTTTCCATTATGCTTCCCTCGAAATATATCATTGGTGTTGGAATTTGCAAAATGAGACTCTTGTAGTGTCGTAGAAGGAACATGGAATAAGAGTACTATACGATAGATGGCCCATAAAATACTGTGTGCATGTAATCTCAACGCGTATATGAAATTGGGTATGTTTTTTCCTTATCAAGATGCTCCATTTCCGATTCATCGGTTGTGACAGTGTTTCGTAATAAGAAAGTCATTTACGGAGTCCTAGAAGGGAGAATGACATCATAGATAGATCCAGAAAATTCATTGTCTTATGTCGGTTCAATTGCTCATCCAAGTTTCCCTTATGCTTCACTTCAGTTCATGTGTTTCAGTCACTACTTTAACAGAATATGATCATTCTTGACGTGTTATTGCTTGTTCTATGAGATGCTGATCTTCCATGTTAAATGGTAGTCATGATGTTCCTATTGCCATGTCCTTCCGAATTGATCAAATAGTGGGACTTATGGTTTCGGGTGTCACTAAACTGTGTTTTGCTCAATCTGCGGATGATATGTTCAGTGACGACACAATGATCCATTCATTTTGGTTGTGGACTATTGTTTTCCCAGGTTTTATTTGTATGAATATGAATCCCCCTCTTCTCCGGTTATCTGTCCTTTTACATGTTGTTGCATTGCAATGTTGCTTGATCTGAGATGGAGATGGAGATGGTGATCTGTTGTCATTCCAGCTGCCCTTCAGCTCCTCTTTAACTTGTGCCCATGTTTGGTGAATAGAAACTAGTCCCCGGAATGATGCTTTGTCCATGTCGTTACTTGTTTTGTTCCTGCAGAACAGATACTCCGAGCTTCACTTTGTCCTTTTGGCGTCACCGTCCTTCAATTATTGGTCTTAAAATAATGAAACCCGCCAACCAAACGGGTAACTTACTCCACTGACACTACTCCCTCTCTCACTCTCTAAAGTCTATCCTTGCTGCTGCTTCCCTTTCTCTCTCTCCGTCATTTTCACTGTGCCTGAGATGGAGCACCCACCGCCGACCATCGTCAAGATTCCTCCTGCGGCGACGGAGAGCTCTGGAGGGAGGCGGCAGGGAAGGGGTGATCAGGATCTGCATCAGGGGCTCCCCGATGCTGGTAGCTTGGTTTGATTTAGGGATGGCGCATAAACCCAGTTGGTGGTTATGGATAGACTATGTCCGTTTTCGCCTTATAATTTAGAGGATCGTCACTTTGACTTATTCCAGTTGCCGATCTTCTTCTCCACTTCGGAGCCCTCAACTCTGGCAGTAATCGTGAACTGGGGATCTTGAATGGAGTCCCAGAAAAGAACTGACAGCAGTCTGTCAACTTAATTTTGAAATGGAAGCTTATGGGGGCGTAGGATTGGTTATTGCCGGATTGGTATCTTAAGTATTCACACCCCGAAGATTCTATTTAGATTCTACTTGCAGGTTCCCTGCTCAGTTTGTACATCCAATCAGAAAGCCAGAAACTGGGTATTGATATGGAGGTGTCCTAAACAGAAATTCGGTGATTTCATTGGCTCGGGGTTGTTTTTTATTCGGTTGATGTTCTAGACTTGTAGTTCCTCTAACAACCTTGGAAGAAAGAAAGGTTAATGTTCAACATTGTCCGGCTGAAGTCTTGCAGCGTCGAGATGCAACCTCATGTCTTCTTTGCTGCCAGCTGCTAGATTGATCAAATGCATTTGAGGTTCTCGGATGCTTTCTGTTTCTGGATGGCCTTCTTCACTATCTTCCTGTTGGCTATGTATTGCTTCACATTGTCATAATCTAGGATGCCTTATCTTCCTTGGATGATTGATTGAACTTGGCATGTAGATTCCTTCATCATAGGTGAGGAATCATTCTGTGGTGCTGCACAAGTCTAGGGGACCTTCGAGATCCATCCAACATCTGATTCAGGAACATATTTTATCCTTGACCAAGGCATGTTGATTAAGTGGCAGTACCAGCAAAATTCCCAGCAACTTCAAATGTTTTAAAGCTACGAAGATACCAGCTATTTGTGTGTTTCTGGACCTGTTCAAGTTATATGCAAGAGCAAGAGCAGGTTGTTTGGCATTATCTACAAGCATTGATTTGGGTAGTACCTGGAGTACTTTTCTGCTGTTGCTGCTAAAGGTCTCTAGCCATTGAGTTTCCTAGCAAACTGGTAACGGGAGTAAAATCTGTCATCTCTTATTAGGTAGGACGTTTGGTTGGCTTTGGAAAGATATCTCTCTCCGCCTTTGTTGCCAAGCCAGTGGAAACTCCTGATAACTTTACTGTGATAATGTGGTTGGTTATTTCTTGATGAGCTTCAAACTTATGAAAACTAGATATGATGAACTCATATTGCTCAGTCTGCTTACAGCATTAGTTACCCCAGTCTATCTGCAAATGTGATCATGTATCAAATGGATTCAAGTTCTCTCAGTAATAGTTCTTGATGTCCCTTCTTTTATCATTATCATTGTTAGGAAAATGGACTACAAATGATGGCAACGAACAAGAAATCACATGGATGGCACACGAATGCATAGTTCCTAGGTATTTTGGTTGAATGCTCTTGGATTATTATGCATGTCTTTTGTAAAGTAGCCAGTCTTAGAAGCACACAAATGCATAGTTACTATGATTGAATGGTCTTAGATTATCTATAAAGACCATTCAATCATGGGCTACTGTGGACTGTAGTTCCTATGATTGAATATTCCTATGATTTATAAGAGAACACAAGCCAAATCATTTTGTTATAGTTCAAAATACAAGTAATAAAGAAACGATTGCATATTGACATGGTCTAGATCTTTAGACGGGAATCACAAACTCAATTGCAAGCTAAGATTGAAAACCTAGAATTACTTTAATCAGAAACTCATGTATTAGGGTAATAAGGTTAATAAATGAAGCAACTTGCACCTAATCACTTTCATAAGATAAGGCAAGGATTTTACTCTTTAGATTGAGAGAGAGAAGACGTCTCAAATACACATGTTAATGATCTCTTATATTTTTCATGTTTAATGTGTACCTATGGTTAATGATCCCTAATATTTTATTTATTGTTAACGATCCATAATATTCTATAAATTATACTGGACTTCTTTTTCCACATAAACAAATGAACACATACATACGATAAACTTGTTGCAAACCGTATTTATCAAGTTGAAATTGAATTCTTTGAAGTATGTATTGTTAAAATTAAAGAGTAAAAATCATTGCTTAAATATCATCCAGTTAGTTGAGAAATAAACAATAACTTATTACTATCTCATAAACCTATATATTGAGATCACAAAGATATTCTTGCGGAAATATAAATGATTTAAAGTAGTTTAAGTTTAATTGAAACTTAATTGATAAAATAAAACGCAAAATTCATCTGACCAACGAGAAAGGAACAATGTCAGTTTGACTCTGTTGGGAGGTCTAAACGTTGTATCTTTGATTTTTTGTAATACAAACTATCTTTAGTTAAAAAAAAAAGGGAACTATGCCAGTTGTGATTAGTGTAGTTTTTTTTTTCCTGTGAGAAAATCATCGTCATAAATTATTGGGAGAAAAAATAATCGTAATTGGTAATAACTAATGCTGAAATTATAAAAAGAAAATTTGCCTAAAGTTGCTTTCAAAGACACACGCGCCAGGCGTGTAAACGAAAACCAAAATAATTAATGGAGAGGGGTAATAAAGGGAAAAAAATTAAGTATACATCAAAAGAACCCCAAACGAAGAAGACGAAGGATTGAATAACGCGCCGAGTCGAAACGAGGGAAAGCAGAAGCTGCGGAAGCGAGTGAAGGAGAAAAGCGAGTGGCAACATTCCATTAGATCTGGAAAAAAACCCTAATTTTTTCTCTGTCCCTTCTCTCTAACGCGCTCTGTGTCCCTCACTCGCCTCTTTGCGGTTCGCTGCTTTTATTTCGCGCGGATTCCTCTCTCCGAAGAATTACTTTGAGGTTCCTTTCTCTAATCCAACCTCCTCCTCTCTCTCTTCTCAAGCTTCTGGTTTCCTTTTCTGGGTTTTCTATTTGGTTGCTGGTAAAATGGTGAATGAGAAGTGGCCACCTTGCTTTGATCGGAGTCGTAGTGTATACCTGTTGCATTATGATACTGACATAATGATACACGGGGTCTCGATTAAGTGACCGAATTTCCCCCCTTTTCCTTCGATTCCTTTGGAGAGGAAAAACTGAAAACTGAAAAGCTTGGCTGAGCTGCGTGTATGAGAATACTTGTAAAGATGTAATTCTGGAGGTGTCAGCTTCAGCTTTAGCTGAAAGGGGCAGGTATAGGTAGAAACTAGGAAGTAATGATCTTTTCACGTTGGTGGAATAGGGTTTGAGAACATTCAACTTGACATATCCCACATTCTTTTCCCGGCAGAATGATCCAGTCTGGGGAAAACGCTGTTCTTTTTGCATTTTAGATGAGCTGCCTGGATCATGTTTGGTACTGATAGCTGCTTAAGGTGATTGTTCATGTAATGTGTTGCTATGATGATCGCTTTACTGTCAGTTTCTCGGTTTGGGTTTGGTTTCGAGCTTGTGATGGTGTGAGTTGTGCTGGGTTCACTTGATTATGTGTCCTGTTCGTATTCACTTCATACTTATGTTCAGGTGTCTGACTAGTAGCAACATGATAAGTGAGTAAAGTGACAACCCTCTGTCGACTAAGCTTGAACCTGTGGCAACTGATTTCAGTTACCATGATGTAAGGATCTTTAGTGGTATAATACCAAGGGATTTGCTACTTCGACTCTGATGCTATCTCTATTGACCCTTTTCAGGTGATATAACCAAGGCATTTGCTATAGTTCCTTGTTAATTCATCCCATGGATATTGATCTGAGGTTGCCTTCGGGTGGGCATGATAAGGAAGATGATGAAACAAATGGAATTGATCATATGTTAAACGAAGACAAGCTGCATAGTTCAGAGGCAGAGACTCTAACCATGGTTAATGTTTCAGAAGATGTACATGCTACAGAAGGCGGAAATGTAAATTCCCCAATGAGAGCCATTGAAACCAAAGAAGGAACAAATCTTGAACCGCTTTCTGGCATGGAATTTGAATCGCACAGTTCAGCATATGCGTTTTATCAGGAATATGCCCGTTCCATGGGGTTCAATACTGCCATACAGAACAGTCGTCGCTCAAAGACATCTAGGGAATTTATTGATGCAAAATTTGCCTGTTCCAGGTATGGAACGAAGAGAGAGTATGAGAAGTCTTGTAACAAACCACGCTCTAGGCAGGATAAGCAGGAACCTGAAAATGGAACCAGCAGAAGATCATGCTCCAAGACCGACTGCAAAGCAAGCATGCATGTTAAGAGAAGGCCTGATGGAAAGTGGGTCATCCATAGTTTCGTGAAGGAACACAACCATGATCTCTTACCTGCCCAGGCTGTGAGTGAACAGACAAGAAATATGTACGCTGCAATGGCTAGGCAATTTGCTGAATACAAGAATGTTGTTTGCCTCAAGAATGACACCAAGAGCCCATTTGACAAATCTCGATCTTCGGTACTAGAAGCTGGAGATGCTAAGTTTTTGCTTGATTTCTTCACACAAATGCAGAGTTTAAATTCCAACTTCTTTTATGCGGTAGACACAGGTGAAGATCTACGTCTGAAGAACTTGCTTTGGGTCAATGCCAAAGGTAGGCATGACTATGTCAATTTCTGTGATGTTGTCTCCTTGGATACCACCTACATAAGAAACAAATATAAGATGCCTCTTGTTCTCTTTGTTGGAGTGAATCAACACTATCAATTCTTGCTGCTTGGATGTGCTCTGATATCAGATGAGAGCTCAGCAACATATTCCTGGCTTATCCAAAACTGGCTTAGAGCAATGGGTGGGCGGGCGCCTACTGTTATCATCACTGACCAGGACAAAACATTGAACTCGATTATTCCGCATGCCCTTCCTGGTGCTCGTCATTGCTTTTCTTTGTGGAGCATTTTTGGGAAGGTTTCTGAGAACTTGGGTGATGTGATTAAACAGCATGACAACTTCATTAAAAAATTCGAAAAATGTGTCTTCAGATCATGGACAGAGGCAGACTTCATCAAGAGGTGGTGGAAACTCCTTGATAGATATGAGCTCCAAGGGAATGAGTGGATGCAACCATTATATGAAGATCGTGAGAAATGGGTGCCACTGTATTTGAAGGGTACCAATTTAGGTGGAATGTCCACAGTTCAGAGATCTGACAGCGTGAACTCGTACTTTGACAAGTTTGTGCACAAGAAGAGCACTGTGCAAGAGTTTGTGAAACAGTATGAAGGAGTTTTAATGGAAAGGTACGAGGAAGAAGCCAAAGCAGAATCTGATACATGGAACAAGCACCCCGCTCTGAAATCCCCTTCCCCATTGGAGAAGAGTGTTTCAGGGTTGTACACTCTTGCTGTCTTCAAGAAGTTTCAAGTTGAAGTGTTGGGCGTAGTTGCTTGCCATCCTAAACTGGAGAGTGAAGATGAAACTAGCGTCATTTTTCGAGTTCAAGATTTGGAGAAGCAGCAAGATTTTTCTGTCATGTGGAACCAATTGAGAGCAGAAGTTTCTTGTATTTGTCGACTACAAGAATATAAGGGTTATCTGTGTAGGCATGCATTGGTTGTTTTGCAGATGTGTCAGCAATCTGCTGTCCCATCTCGTTATATATTAAAACGATGGACCAAAGAGGCAAAGAGCAGGCATCTTAGTATGGGTGAAGAAGAATCTGAGCAACTACAGTCTAGGATGCAAAGGTACAATGACTTGTGTCAGAGAGCAATGAAACTGAGTGAGGAAGGGTCATTTTCACAAGAGAGTCATAACATCGCCCTTCGTGCTGTTGAAGAAGCTTTTGGAAATTGCTTAAGTGTCAACAATTCTAGCAAGAGTATCCCGGATGCAGTTACATCAACTGCACATGGTCTTCTCTGCACCGAAGATGATAACCAAAGTAGGAGCATGAACAAGACTAATAAGAAAAAGAACCCTACTAAAAAAAGAAAGGTGGTTACTAATGGTCATTGTCATTTGTTTCTCTATACAAGTTGTCTTTGTCCGATGTTTAACATGATGTGGTCTGCAGGCTGGGTTGGAGCCGGAGATAACAACAGTTGGGATAGAAGACAGCATGATGGTGCAATTCGTGTTCTGAACAACCTCCCCCTGAAACATACACAATTTAATAGTTTACTTTGTTTTGCTATACATGCACAGCTGATATTCTTTATTGCAGGAAAAGTTGAACTCTAGAGCTGTATCACTGGATGGCTTTTATGGGTCACAACAGCCTGTGCCAGGGATGGTATGATATGGCTTTGAATTTGGTTTTGATCTTTAACATCAATGTCCATGCTATTCCTTACACAGAGAATTATTTTCTATATAGGTTCATAACTTCATGGAACGTTATTATCAGCCGAGCATACAAGGCCAGGTATGTCATGGAAAGCAAACCTATCAAACAATATCCTGTTCTGACAAGGATTCAAATCCGAATAACTTAGCCAACAAAAGAGCCATTTGCCTTTTATTTTGGTAGCTGAAACGACTTCTAAGTTTCCAAATTAGAGCTTTTGGGATAATGGATTAAGGAAGGGAATGATCTTAGTATCTTGGTCTTAGTTTAGGACTAAACCCTTAGTTTAGGAGAGGGATAAAGTGTGATCTGGTGGACTTTTGCAGGGACAAATGAACTCACTACCAGCGCAAACCCATGATGGTTATTTCAGCTCCCAGCAAGGCCTTCCTCATCCTCTGGTAAAATTACCATCAATCTCTGCTCTATGCAATAATGTCCGCTCTCTTAGTGGATCGTCAAAGCTGGTGGATTTTTTTTTGTCGATTGCAGGGGGTGGATTTCCTCAACAGAACAATTGGTTATTCTTTCGGAATCCGGGTATAGTTCTGCTATCTCAGCAAAACATTTTTCCGTTAGTGATTCACGCCGTTTGTCGCTTTGCACTGTCGTTCTTTACTTATTTGAGGGTTATTCTTCTTTCTGGGGTTGATTACAGCAGGATGATTCTAATGTGAGAACATCGCAACTACATGATGATGCATCCAGACATGTGTAGACACAAAAAAGACAGAGAAGCTGAATACGAATGGCGTGAGAACATAAGTCTGTAGATTTCTAGACCAGAGGGTGTCCAATGATGGTGTTTCTGTTCATGCCGTCTGCCAGGATAAGATGATTTAGAGTTATAACTTGTATCTTCTGCATATGTAGCAGTCTCTTATTTTGTAGTGCTACTAGGATCCCCCCCTAGTGCGAGCTGAATCTTTGTTTATCTCTAATCTTAGTTGTAAAGCTTGTTTGTAATGTTGTATCCTGAATTCCTGATTATTAGGTTAGTGGAAATCATTGAGTGTGGTAAAGTAGATGTTGTACTTGCATTTGCCTCAATTTTTTCTAGTAGCGTCAAAAGAGCACGAGCGAGTTCTCTCTGCGAATTGTGTTGTAAAATCAAAGTCTTTCTTCTAATGCGACATAAATTCTCGACAGCCGGACTCTACTTCAGAGGAAGATAAATCGTTTTTGAAGATTCTCAACTTGCTAAATAATCTTTGCACCATTATTCTCTCCATAAAATCGGATATTGATCGTCTGACATAAAACAATATTTCTTACTAATTTTTTTAGTTTTTAGTATTTACCCGTTTTTGCCATTTTATGACCATTCAACAAAGTTATGACTATTGGGTGAGAAAAAAAAGTTTAGTATGCACATCTCCGTATGTGAGTCTTCGTATATTATATTTCTACTATAAGAGTTGTATACATATTATTTTAAAACACGACTTTATGATAAAATTTGTTAAATTACGAAAAATGTGTAAATTTTCCCATGTTTTTCTTATTCTCGACAGCTGCGATCCAATTGACAATTACCACCTCTACCACCACCCCACAGTGATGGCAACAAGTCCCATTTGGTGAGCAAACATTGTATATTCATTATCATACTCAAAATAGTTCAGGGTTTATACATATCTATACCCATACATGAATCAGGTAGAATATCAAAATTAGATCCTTACCCGATTGAGTTTCGGGCATCCAAGGTTATTCATAAATAATAATACCTCATTATAACTTTATCCAACATGTTAAATACGAATACTATATGATTGAAAAGGTACAACAATAAATTACTAAAATGAAAATTTTTCGTGAAGATGTTATATACGTATAATAAATATAAAATATGTTAAGAAAAATAATGATAATTAATTAGATAAAATACATATAAATGCGTAAATGGGTGTATTTACATTGAACCATACTCACTCGTTATTCTTAATATTCATATTCTAATTTTATCCATACCAATTAAAAAATGGTATCATCCCCACCAAGCCCAACCCGACTCAAGTTAGGGTGAATAATTAAATGTGTACCTTTCTTTTTTAGTAGGTACAGAAAATTAAGATCTAAGAGCGATGAATTAAATATATTTTATTTTTCCTAGTTATTTTAATCGACTTTTATCTTCTTCGTTCCAACTTGTTTTTTTTTTTTTTTTTGCATAGATGAAACGAGTTTGTTGTGCTCTACAAAATGAGATCCATTTCAATATTTTTTTAGAAAAAAATTCATATCTCTCGTTACCAACCCCCATATCATATGGTATTTCCTTCGTTTTTAAGTCTTACTGAAAATTTTACACAGGAGAAACGAGTTCATCATGATTTATTGGATCTAAAAAATTTTAGGTAAAAAAATTAGAGGATAAAAAAACTCCACACAATACCACCCTGGGAGTAGTATCTTGTGGTACACAATGTTGAAAGTCGTAAATGACAGATAATATACTCCTACTATCATGTATTCAACCATCATACATTCTTGGTATGTTCATCCCACCATGGTACGGTGTTCATACCATATAGTATGCTCTTATTTTGATAACAATCAATACCACCATGGTATAGACTAGTACAAAATGCCACAATTTTTTGTTTAAGAAAATATATCAAAGTGGATATCATTTTGAAGAGCACAACTAATATGATATATCTGTGAAAAAAATTAATATTCCAACTTAAAACGAGAGTGAAATCCTCCATTAAATATTAAAAGAGAAAAGATTAAAGGCTTTTTTAGTAGAGAGACGAGTGCTGATGTGCCAAATTCTAGTTGCGTTACTCATGGTTACTCACCATAGATTTACTTATGGGATCCGCTTCGGCCAACCCATATTATCATCCCCGCCTACTACTAAAATGGTATTTTCCAAATTATTATTAATAATAAAATCATGTGAGGTGGAGCATGCATTGGGAGGTATTTAATATTTATGTTAAGAGTTTGTTGTAAGCTAACTATATTAGGTGAAAAGATGATGAATGATGTATTAACTCGAATGATGATGATAATCATGGATGGTTCGTCTTATTATTATTGCTTATATATAACGATAGTTTATGATAGTAATAACATATGGTTATGTTTTATTCATTAACAAGATAATTGTTTTCATGTAATGTTATGTTATTTGGTTAATCCGATTATCCGATTAACCAAACCAATTAAATTTTGGTTTGGTTAATTTGATTTTCGTGTTAGTTTGGACGGTTCGGTTAAGACTTTTTATTCCATTGTTAATAAAATTTAGGTTTAATTGATTTGGTTATTACCACGGTAACTATATGAACAACCTAACCGCAACAAAAGGAAATATAAAAATGGGAAATAAAGTAACAAAAAAGAAGAATATTTTATTCGTCCTTTCACAACGACTTCGTTCAGCTAATTATTTAAAAAAATCAATAAAGTTACCGCTAGGGCTCATCACTCTGCCCTCGCCGGAACCAGACCACCCGGCTGGCACTACCGCCACCGCTCTCGCTTTCTCTCCCTGTTCTCTGGTCTTCAATTTCAAGTATCCCTCTCTCTCTCTTTCTCTGTCCATGCTTTATTCGTAGATGTTACCGAAACATCTCTGTGTATGTGTGGAATTGCCAAAGAGTCTAAGTTCAACGTTTTCTGAACCCGGTATCCTTTGGCGATTGATTACCGAATTTCACTCCGTCACATGCAGGTAGAGTTGATTAGCGTCCATCTCCGTGAAAATTTAAACTCGCAATCTCTGTTCTCCAGGCGGAATTCTGAGTTTTCCGTGACAAGAGAAATGATGAAGTCCGGCAACGGCAAGTCTCACGTCGAAGAGGAAGATGACGGTGACGATTATGATTCCCCTTCCTCCAGAGGTACTTATTGCGCGTGCTTTTGTTTCCTGAGATGCGTTTTCACGTTTCCTCATTTCAGCTTCTCCGTCCTTTCTGTTGTTTCGTGATTGCGACTTACAGGTGAAATGACGAAAGATGATGGCAAGAGCAGTGACCAGAAGGGAAAGACCCACAGGTCGAAGCATTCCGAGACCGAACAACGGAGGAGGAGCAAGATTAATGAGAGGTCTGCCTCAATCCTTATTTGTTCACTGTTAAAACTTAAAAGTGGGAGAATTCGTTTACTGCTTCAAATTCAGTTGCCATGGCCGTGGCGCCAAAGAAGGACTCGTGAACTTGTTGATCCTGTAGTTTAAGTTTGAATGATCGTTTGTATATAAAAAAAAGTATGAAGTCTTCCAGGGGAAGGTTTGAATTTTTGTTTTTAAGTCAATGTGTTGAAATGCATTAACTTTTGACCGTGTTAACACTTAACAAATGCAAGGTCTTTGATCCATTGTTGTGTTTCTTAGTTCAGAATCCTCGTTGACTTTGAAAATATGAGATTTTGGGGTTGAGATGGTCAAGTGTCTAACCCAATGTTGAATATGTTTGGATAAGACAATCGTGATTCGAAGGTGGGATAATCCCAAGCTGTCTATCTGTTTAATATTAGTCGAGTCGTAACCCTCATGTGAAAATATTATGTAAAAGTCTTGGTTGGAGTAGAACTGCTTGCTTCATTTCTGCTGTGAGAATTATGTCGCATGGTCTTCTGAATATGTGTAGGTCATATTTGTCATTCATCTTACTTGGAATTAAATTCAGGTTTAAATCTTACATATGCTTATTCTTCTAATCCAGTTTTGTTGCGATGACTTATGAATTGAGGCTTTGCGTCAGCTTCCTTTGTGTTTCCTGTCTCTTCCTTTTGATTTTCTGACTTTCTGGCATGTTTCTTGAAGTTGTTTGTGTTTCTTATTCTCGATTTTCAATAACAACGAGAAGATCGTGGCAAATGAAGAAATCGTTAAAATTCAACTTCTGTCGGTTTCTTCTTGATTTCTTATCTGATCTTTCGAGCACAATCTTGAGTGTTTATGTTACTGGGCTATTTCATGCTAGCATTGGTCCGAGTTCTGTATTGATGATGCTGTAGGAATTTGAGATTTTATTATTTCTTCTTTTTTGTACAATGACTTATTTGGTTTTCAAATTCAGTGAAACTTTGATGCTATCCTCCTCCAGTGAAGTGTTCAAATAGTGCAGTTTAGGGTTGATTTATTAACTTAGTGCTACTCTGCATTGTATTGCCAGTTCAATTTCTTTGGACTATTTAATTACTAAAAACTGTTGCTTATTACCAACCGTTTTATGAGACAGGTTTCAGGTTCTAAGGGAACTTATACCACAGAATGATCAGAAAAGAGACAAGGCTTCCTTCTTGTTAGAGGTGCACATAATAGTCCTACTCTTTTTATTTTTTGGTAAAAGACAGACACCAAAGGCGACCTACTCATTTTGGCTGTTGCTGATATGACAGTATTTTCTTAACTGAACATTTCTCTGTTCATTACCAGGTTATAGGCTACATACAGTTTTTACAGGAAAGATTGCATAGGTATGAGGGATCATACAATGGCTCTAGTCAAGTGCCAGCCAAATTGACCCCATGGGTAAAAGTTCTAGTATTTTACAATTATATGACTTGCTGCTTCTAAGATGTTTTCCTTTTCTCATTGAGTTGGCATTGATACTTTTGTCTTCCCTTGTTTGGTATAAATTCATCTAGCGTCCCATAGATGGTGCTAAAAGACTATGGTGTACTTAATAGATCAGGCAGAGAAAATAGTATAATATGCAACTGTAGATCACTGTCACCTTAATTGTATTTTCTTCTATCAGACATTTATGTATGCAAATTTGTTGTCATTATTGCTTTCTTTGGTTTCTTGAAAGGACTATTCTGATTGGCTTTGTTCCCCCCAAATCAGAAAAACCATCTGCCTTCAGAAACTCTAGTGGACCACTCTCAAATTCTGAAGATTGGTTCTGCTCATGAAAGTACTGTAGCACTTGCCAATGCCCGAAGTTCTATGGAATTTGACTTGGAAGCTTCTACAATATGCAAAGCATTGAACCATGCCCCTGGAACTCCACCAGTTCAATATAACATGCTTCCAGACTCGAGTATGCTTGGTGCTATTCGAGGGCTAAATGACATGTCTACACCATGTTTGCAAGATTCCACTTCAGACGCTGAAAACATGGCCCATCAGATTCAGTCTGAACTTTGGCATGGTCAACCATTTGTTACAGAGTGTACAGCA